TATCAAATTAAAGAGATTTACCCGTAGAACGCGTTACCACAAACTGCACTTTAAAAGGACAAGTGGGTCAAAAGTTATACAATTTTATAGTTTTGCTCATTTATTTATTTATTAACGGTCTACACCATTTCATCTCATTGCATAACATATAAGATACGTAACAGAACTTAACAACAAGGATCATACATAACAAATAATAGTATTAACAAGCAAAACAATGATCAACAAGAATAAATGTATAACAAACTTATCAATAATTGAATAAAAAAGATGTCAATAAATCTGGAAATCCATAAATTGATCGGTTTAAAGTGATAATATTTAAAAATTCTATCAACATGCATCAACATTTTAATAAATATGAAAGCAAACAAGAAATGCAATAACAAACTGGATCATAGGACCACTCTACTGTATTATGGACCACCAAGGATTATGAGAAACAAGCAAGCAGCTATTTCCTAAAAGTAATAAAACTTGAGGAGAAAAATTCGAGATTTTTAGGAATACTGTTTCCCAAACGATGTAGTCTTGGTAGCGTGCTGTTGTAGGCATATGCTGTAGAATTATATCCCCTTTCAAATAGGTCCTGAGATCAGGATGGTCTGGAGCAGCAAAAATTTACCCTGCTCAGCAGATCAGGAGAGTCAAGTTCTGCAATGAGATTCTTCCTCAGGAAAACCAGGTCAGTAATAGTCCAGGACCTGACTAGGGTTCTGTGTGCATGTCGTGTATAGTGAATTTTACTTTTGCATTTCAATATAGGTGTCTTAGGAAGTGTTTTCCACTCGGGTGTCAAGTTCGCACCTGGTACGTTTTCGAGCTATGACGTCATCAAAATGGCGGCCATTGATTTTTTTAAATTGTATATTTCGCAAACTATTTGTCGGATCGGAATGAATGTTTTTTTGTTTGAAAGATAATTTTAAATGCTACCTGTTTTACATTTACACATTTGTTGTATGTTTAGTACATTCTTCGTAATTTTGCAAAAACCTGTATTTTTAAATATTTTTGAGTTATTTTTGTCGATAACGTTTTATTGATACAATATATCAGAAATAACTTATAGACAAAGTTGTAGCACGTTAAAATAGCTTTACAAAAATACCAAATTCGATATGCTTTACTCAAAAGATCACGTCAAGAAACTAGAAAATCGTACAAAACAACCTAATTTTGCGCAAAAACGCATATAAATCCGACATCGATGGCTGTGTTCGAGTCATATATAGACAGTTTTACCATTCAATGTTGATGTATGTGTCTAAAGAAGTGTTTTTAACTCGGGTGTCACGTCTGGACCCACTGCAGTTTCCGGTTATGATGTCTTAAAAATTGCTACATGTTACGATTTCACCAGCTATTTTACTTAAAATAAGACCATTACCCTCTTTTATGCAAATAAAAGCACAACAAATCAATGTAATTAGTCCATAGGAATGTTTCCACTATATAAATACCCCCGGTGCAGCAATCCTTTCGACTAAGCGAATTTCCATTTGCATGGATTGAGATTTATATGCGTTTTTGCGCAAAATTAGGTTGTTTTGTACGATTTTCTAGTTTCTTGACGTGATCTTTTGAGTAAAGCATATCGAATTTGGTATTTTTGTAAAGCTCTTTTAACGTGCTACAACTTTGTTTTTAAGTTATTTCTGATATATTTTATCAATAAAACGTTATCGACAAAAATAACACAAAAATGTTTAAAAATATAGGTTTTTGCAAAATTACGAAAAATGTACTAAACATAAAACAAAAGTGCAAATGTAAGAAAGATAGCATGTAAACTTATCTTTCAAACAAAAAAAAGTTCATTCCGATCCAATACATGGTATGTAAAATATCGTTATTTTTAATATAGCCCTTTCCGCCATTTTAATGACGTCATAACCGGAAACTGCAGTGGGTGCAGACGTGACACCCGAGTTGAAAACCCTTATTTAGACACGTACATCAACATTGAATGGCGAAACTGTTTTTATAAGACTTGCGAACTGCCCTAGAGGCCGGACTAATAGGCGTTTTTGCGCCAAAATTGGTGTTTTTATGAGATTTATCTAGTTTCTTGACGTAATCTTTTGAGTAAAACATATCGAATTTGGTATTTTTGTAAAGATTTTTAAATGTTCTACAACTTTTTTCATTGGTGGTTTTTGATAAATTGTATCAATAAGACGTTACAAACAAAAACAACTCAAAAATATTTAAAAATACAGGTTTTTGCAAAATTACGAAGAATGTACTAAACATACAACAAATGTGTAAATGTAAAACAGGTAGCATTTAAAATTATCTTTCAAACAAAAAAACATTCATTCCGATCCGACAAATAGTTTGCGAAATATACGATTTAAAAAAATCAATGGCCGCCATTTTGATGACGTCATAGCTCGAAAACGTACCAGGTGCGAACTTGACACCCGAGTGGAAAACACTTCCTAAGACACCTATATTGAAATGCAAAAGTAAAATTCACTATACACGACATGCACACAGAACCCTAGTCAGGTCCTGGACTATAATACGCCTTCGAGAACTCAAGTGGTTTAGCCGAAGATGCTGCCGAAGATCCTCAAATGGGTACAACCCTGAATGGGTACCTATCCCAGACGAAGTCCTACGATTCTAAAACTAGAGCTGCACTCTTTCGATGTCCTGTGAACGACCAACTGTATAAATTGGGGCCATACAGAACAATATTCCAACAAGGAGAGCACAACCCACACAGAGAACCCATTTCTGGATAATCTCAGAATGAAACCAAGGGCTGAGTTTGCTTTCCTTGTTAACCTGTTATCTTGATCATCAGGGTTGAGATATGATGTAAATGATACTCCAAGGTCGTTGACCGAGGTGGATCCAACAAGTGTATTCCCAATTATTGAATAGTTAAAAAGAGAGGTTGTTGAGGTCCTGTTGAATGAAACTATCATCCACTTGAATTCATTCAAAAGCATTCCATTTTGCATAAACCACATTGAAATTCCATTGATGTCCTGCTGGAGGCATTTCGATTCTGAGAAAACTTTTTACATGATTTGCGTTTGGGCAGAGATAAAATTGTTCGCACAGCCCATTTTTGGAATTTAAATAGAAATTTATTTTTTTAAATTTCATAGTCCCATATAGGTATAGCATACGCTATAGGAATAGGCTATATCATACGCTAAATGAGGATATGTTAGTCCGTAATATACGGATATTAGAACTTCGAAGGTAGATGTGTTCTTTAAACTACGTAGAACAAAAATTCCAGAACTGACTTTTGTTGAAACCTGCTTAATGTGATCTGAGAAATCAAAATGTTTATATAGTGTCAGTCCCAGAAACCTAACACTGTTAGTTGGATGAACTGTTGTGTCATCCAGAAGTAGGCTGAATCCATTGGAGAGTCTCTTTGAAATAGAGAAGTGCAAAAGTTGGGTTTTTTCGGCGTTGACGGAGAGAAAGTTGGAATCAAACCACTCGATTAAGCTACTTGCTTCCCGAAAGGTAGTGAGCTCCAAGCGTTGGTTTGGCGGTTGATATGCAAGATGGAAGGGTGTTGATGAAGAGCAGGAATAGGGTAGGTCCTAAAACAGAGCCCTGAGGCACCTCTCTCAAAATGGTGGTCTTATCAGAGGAATAGGGGCGAATGAACCCGGTTGTCAAGAATCTTTGACAACGTCAGCCATATATTAATGAATATTGAATATAAAATTGGTCCCAGTAGAGATAGATCCTTGAGGTACACCAGAAGAAGCTTCAATCTTACAAGACTTTGCTCCAGCAAATTTCATTGTTAAAAAGTGATTCCACAAATAGTCCTCAAATCATACGAGTATGATTCAGTGATCCCCAATCCACCAAGCTTTGCCACGAGATAAGTGTGACTTACACGGTCGAAAGCCTTGGATAGGTCCAAATTGACAGAATCGTCCTTATGGTTACGAGAAAAGGCTTGTCATCCTGGTACGGAACCAAATTGGTCAAGGTAGATCGCCCTTTATTGAAGCCATGTTGATAGGACACGATGACATTGTTCAAAGAAAAAGAGTCCATGAAGTAGAATTGCTGGAAATATATTAGCCAATGTAGGTTGTACCACCACTGGACGAAAACTTTTGACGGACGGGTCACCTTCCTTGAAAATTGGTAACACATTACCATTTTTAAGACCCCGAGGGAACTTTCCAAGCTTCATCAAGATGAGATGAAATGGTGTTGACCATTAACAAATAAATAAACAAAACTATAAAATTGTATAACTTTTGACCCACTTGTCCTTTTAAAGTGCAGTTTGTGGTAATGCGTTCTACGGGTAAATCTCTTTAATTTGATATGCATCATGGCCTATGCTTTTATTTAAGATTTTCAACTTACTCCTTGTGGGCCGACCCCCCTTGGGTGAAAAAAGTCAAGAAGTACTTTAAAAAGTACTATTTTAGGTCCAGTATTGATGTGTGAATCTGCAGTCTTCTGACGCAATACGTGCAGAAAAAACAAAGCGCGGGGACTTTTAAGAAACACGGACCTATTGCATACAGAAATTAAAGAAGCTTATAACTTTAACGGTTTATATCTTCCGAACTATTTAAGTTAATTTAGAGATTTTTATCTCATTTTGTAGCAAATTTAATTACAAATAAAATATATAACAATAACAGATACGTACCGTTGACCGTTTGGGTGTTATATAGCAAAAACTACATGTAGCGTAGAGGAATATATCAAATTTTCAACTTTAACAGTTTATATCTTCAAGACTATTTAAGTTATCGAAGTGGTTTTCATCTAATTTTATAGCAAATTTAATTGTGAACAAAACATGTTATACACAAAATGGCGTAAATGTGTCCTTTTGGGTGATTTTAGGCCATTTTCAATGAATAGTTCAATTCCTCTAAAGAAAACAAAGATGGCGTCGTATTTCAAGATGGCGGACCTAAAAATCGGGCACCCCCCCATAAATTGTTGTATTTAGGGTATGGAAGAAATGTGCAAAAGCTGCAGCTTTAATCCATCAGGTCACGATCCTTGCCGATATTGTCTCTAAGCCACCACACTATCTGTCTTGAGCTTCGTCTCTGTGATTGTGTTTCATCAGTCCTTAAGGTTTGTAGAGGCTCTTGAGTGGCAGATTCTTCTATCACCTCTGCATCGGGATGAGAGACATCCTGGGTCTCGTCTACTAAGTTTACATCGCTATTAAGTTCCATTGTGTGGTTCTCCGGTGTTGATTCATCATCAAAATCTGTTCTCTCAGCTTGTTTTCCACAAGGAGCTAAGTTGCGTGTAGACACTGTTGTCTCACGCCCATCTGGCAATCGTACATGAGCGTAATCGGAGTTTCCTTCCAGCAATGTCACCTCCTGCACTATTGGTTCATACTTAGAGTTTCTGATAAGACGTCTCATCAGCACTTTTCCAGGAGTCATCAACCAGGTTGGTGTGGAAACACCATTTTGTGATCTTCTGGGATGTCCAAACATTCGTTCATGTGGCGTACAATTCGTGGCAGTACAAAGCAAGGATCGGATAGAGTGAAGAGCTTCATCCAGAACTAATTCCCACTTTGTCACGTCAAGTTGATAGTTCTTAAGGGCAAGTTCTACTGTTCTCCAGATTATACCATTATATCTCTCATCCTGGCCATTACACTGAGGGTTGTAAGCAGTAGTCCGACTAGAAGCAATGTCGTTTAAAGCGAGAAACTCCTTTAGTTCTTTTGAAAGAAAAGAAGATCCCTGATCGGAGTGAATGTAGCTAGGAGTACCGAACAATGAAAATAACTGTTTCAGTTTGCAAATAACAGTCGAAGAGGACATATCAGGACAGGGGTACGCAAATGGAAATCGTGAGTACTCATCAATGATTGTTAGCATATACCGATTTCTTGTAGAAGAGGGAAGAGGACCCTTAAAATCCAGGCTAAGACGTTCAAACGGTGATGTTGCTTTTATTAATTTTCCATCATGTTTGAAGAATCTTGGTTTTACTTCAGAACATACCTTACAGGAAGCAGTCATTCTTCTTACCTCATCAAGGGAGTATGGTAAATTTTTGCTTCTTATCCAATGATACATACGAGTTTCACCAGGATGACACATTCTTTCATGATATTGATGAAGTCTGTTCATTTTGTCGCTCATCGAGCACACTCGTGATAGAGAGTCAGCAGCTACATTCAGTTTACCAGGTCTATAAACAATATCATAACTATAGCTTGATAGTTCTAGTCTCCACCTTATGATTTTGTCATTCTTAATTTTCCCCGATATCTTAGAGTTGAACATGAAAGAGACAGACTTCTGGTCTGTTATTAGTTTGAAATGTCTGCCTAGCAAATAGTGTCTCCATTTTCGTACTGACTCCACGATTGCATATGCTTCCTTTTCAACCGAACTGTGCTTTAGTTCACTATGAGACAGACCTCTTGAGAAAAAGGCTACAGGTTTTCCTTCCTGGGTCAGTGTTGCTGCTATTACAGTGTCAGATGCATCAGTCTCAACAGTGAAGGGTAGATCAGGATTTATGGGACTCATTGAGGCATTTTCAATCTCTTGTTTCAGTTCATTAAATGCCTTTATAGCCGTTGCGGATAAAGGGAAAGAGCTGGTTGTCAGAACTTTAATCTTTTCAGAAAATCGTGGGACATATCTTGAGAAATGGGAAAACATTCCTACTGCCCTTCTTAGGGATGATGCGTTTGTGGGCAAGGGGAAATTCTTTAGAGGTAAAAGCCGATCAGAATCTGGCTTAATGGTTTTGTTGCTTATTGTATATCCAAGGAGACTAATAGATTTCATTGAAAAAGAACATTTATTTTCATTAATAGTCAAGTTATACTTGCTAGCAGCGTTCATCAGCCTGTTTAGGTTCCTATCATGCTCCTCTTGTGTTTTACCACATACTGTTATGTCATCTAAATAAGCAAATGTGTCATTAAGATTTTCTGCCCTGATTATGCCATCAATAACTCTCTGGAATGCAGCAACTCCATTTGTCACCCCAAAAGGAATTCTGGTAAATTGATACAGCTGACCACATGCTTCAAAAGCTGTAAAAGGCTTATCTTCAGCCTTGATCGGTATTTGATGGTAAGCGCTTTTTAAATCAATGGCACTAAACACTTCATAGTTAGCAACTTTATTGACAATTTCTTCAAGATTTGGGATTGGATAAGCATCGAGACTTGTAAATCTGTTTATAGTGTTAGAGTAGTCTATTACCATACGCTTCTTATGGTTTTCGGAGCTGGTAACAAAAGCTTGAGCTCTCCATGGAGATATAGGGCCTACTTGGTTCTATTACCCCTTCATGCAATAGTGAGCGAATTTCTTCTGAAATAAACTGATAATCTGTTACTGTATGACGGCGAGATTTCACAGAAATAGGGTGACAATCATGTGAAATATGCTCAAATAGTGAAGCTTGTGGTACATTTGCAGCAGCTACAGATACTATAGCAAGAGGAGATTCGGGTCCGCCTAATGTGAGTTCTAATTTAGAATGGCGACTGAGTAAATCATGACCTATTATCAAATCACAACAGAGGTTGGGTAAAATGCACAAAATCACATTATTGTATGAGTTACCAAGAATCTTCAAATTAACTTTGCATTCACCTTTAGTTTTAGAAGTTAACTCAGAAGCCGCCATTGATACTTGACTGATTTTAGAAGGATAGGTTTTTATTTTCAGCTGATTTACTAAGTCACTACTCAGGAAACTAGTGGTACTACCAGTGTCAATTAGGGCTTGAGCTGCTTTACCATTTACATTAACTGGGACAATAGCTTTTGAAAGACCTAGGGGATAACTTGAAGAACAACTTATGTGGCTTATGACAGATGAAGTTGTATGTTTAATTTTTGAGTTTTGACCTAAACTTGATTTATCTATTTGAGAGGAAGACTTACATACCTTAACAAAGTGACCCTTTTTACCACAACCTTTACAGTAAGAATTTCTTGCGGGACAGTCATTTCTTGGATGTCTATTGAATCCACAGAAGAAACATCTATTATTACTCCCAGAAGTAGCGGCTATGGTTGGATTATTTGTATCATCGTCTTGAACGATTGAGTTTTCTTGTTTTAAAACTGAATTGAGATTTGAGCTGGGTTGATATAGGAGGGCTTGTTGTTGTGCACTTTCCAAACAACGGGCCTGTTCATAAGCATCTTGAAGAGGCAGCTTAAAGTTCTCTAGCAGTCTCTGGCGAATGTGTGGAGCAATCAGACCATTTACAAATGCATCTCTAATGCAGTCATCTCTATTTTCTTCTGCAGAAGTAGCTTTAAAATTGCAGTCTTTGCTGAGTATCTTTAAAGCTTCTAGATATTGGTCAACTGATTCTCCTGGTTGTTGCTGACGAGTAGATAACTTATGGCGAGCAAATACTTCGTTCACTGGCTTACAATATAGATTTTGAAGATTACCAATTGCATCTTTAAAATTCAAACATTCACTGATATAAGTATATACTGAAGGCACCACATAGTTAATTAGAAGTTTCAATTTCTCAGATTCATTTGCTTCTGTCACTTCAATAAAATTTGTAAATGTCCTGAGCCAGTGATTCCATTCCATTGCTGCTGTTGAAGAGTTTGGATCTATTGAAAGTTTTGCTGGAGCAAAATGTTTTTCCATGATTGCAGATATTGTGTTAAATAAATTGTTGAAGAATAAAGATTGTTTGCCTTGAATGAGTAGGCTTTATTTAACACAATTCAAGTAATGGAATTCATAAGTAAGAGTTAAATCTAGAGAATGAAATAATGATTACAAACATTCAACATAAACAAATAAAATAACAATGTCCAACAACAGCTGGGAATATTTTCTATCACACTCGTTGAACATAAATGCGAATTTAATAGATTAATTGAAAATCAATCCAGGCAAATGGAAATTTGCTTATTCGTCAGGTTTGCTGCAGCGGGGGTATTAACTCATTATTCTACATTGTCGTAGTCTTCACTGACGTCTTGAGTTTGAATATTTCTTTTTAAACAGGTATTATACCCACAATGACAAAATACTGTGCTAGGTAAGCCTGAGCTCACGCAACTACATATTTTTCAATTCTGTTCACTGGTGTATATCAAACGCAAAAAAAACTTGATAGGAATAACCAGGTTAGGTTCATATCTGAGTTTACCCATAGCTTACTGAGGTTTACTTCACCAAAATGAATAACACAGCTCATTTAGATCTTGAGATATAGATCTTTAATAAAAGACAGTCCTTAAAAATTGAAAACCTAATGTTAGTTAGAGGTCTACAACTCACCTTAATCTCTACATATTTAAATGAAAATTATCTCAAATGAAAGTTCTAAGTTGACCTAGTGTTTTTAGACAAGAACGAATAACATAGTACACATAGCAGCTGAGAAATATGTCTTTAAATACAGAAGAAAGTTAAGAAAACACAACTTTTATTCTACGTTTAAGCTTATAACTCGCCCCAAACACGTCAGATATTAATAAATAATAGCTCAAAAGAACCGCATTAATTCACTGAGTATTTTCATACCAAAACATACAATATCACGTAAAAATAACTCAAAACACAATCAATAACTAAAGATAAATTGTAAAAAAAATATATTTTTTTGTTGGTTGGGGGTCCACAACCCATATTATTAAACTCAACCGATTTTAATAGTCAATGGGTTAAATTAAAGCCAGTAACTCACTGATTATTTCTAGTATATAACATTTCATGTAACGTAATTATAACCGGAGATAATATCTTTAATCAAAGACAAATCTTGGAAAAACTCAAATGTTAGTTGGTTAAAGTTCTATAAATCTCCTCAAACCCGATAGATTTGAATGACCAATGCCTCAAATGAAAGACAGGAAGTTTGCTGAGAATATTATTATCGAAAAATATAATATCCCACAATCAGTACTCTAAGTAACAATCTTTTATTCAAAGAAAATTATTCAAACATTAAAATCTTTGGTGGTTGAAGTCTTGTAATTCGTCTCCGACTCGTTCAGTTTCAGTGATCTTTATGGCAAATGGTAGCCAGTTGTTTACTGAGTGTTTTTATTGCAATACATACACCATCTAATAATAATAACTCAATGGGTTGATCAAAATTTAAACTTTCCTTTTTGAAAAAATATTGTTTCTTTGGAGTGGAGATGAATAGATTGACCTTAAGTCCTTAAATATAAATAGGTAATAGTTACAATGAAATTTGGTAATTTTACAAACATTTTAGTACCAAAAACTGCCAGTGAGAAGTACCGGATGGTCTCAGGAAAGATGTTACAATTTTATTGAACATATAAAATATCCATATTTTTCATTGAAAATCAATAAATAATTTATTTTCTAAAGCTTTGTTCTATCGTTATCCTTGATCATATTTTGAGTAATTAAGGCGCAAAAGTGAAATAAAAATAAATATGACATTATTTTTTTATAAATTATAAAGATTAAGCAAGACATAACCTCAATCTCTCAAGAACGGAGTTGACAGTTTACCTCAGTATCTCGAAATATGGTAGATTGAGATTAGCTGTAGAGTGTAGAGTAAGAAGAGGTAAAATCGAAGATCACAAAAACTCTGTATTGTGATTGGTTTAAAATGACGTCATCTGAATTTCGGGCGGTCGTATGCTCTACATTTCCAAAACGAGTCACTCAACTAGTGATTTCCAACTCGATTTCCAGTTAACACTTAACATTTTTAAGTGTTATTAGACATATTTTTAATTTACTTTCTGTAAATTTGATAACTTGAATGCTTGAACATACAAGTAGGTGGAATGTTTGTCCCTCATAATGTATCTCCATGGACCCTATATTAAATGTTCTCAAAATGCTCACTGGTGAGCAGCACTGTCCGTTGGTGGAGTTTTGAGGAAGAAGGGGACAGCCATATTGATGTTTTTGTTGACTGTTTTATGCTCATGTGTCCTACTTGCTGTTAATAAACAGGATTTCCTTTCGCCCAAGACAAGTACCTTATACCTTGTAACCTCCGTGTGTGCAACAAATACTGTGTGTCATATACTAACATTTTAACTTTGACTTTATTTGGGAGACACCTGTTATCTTTCAGAAAACATAAGCTCTGGATATGTGAATCTATCTAGGTTAGTAGTTGAGTGAAAATTTAAAAACGTACGTTTTCATGTCCCTGGCCTTTTACTTCGTAGATACTGGATTTGTAGTTTATTATTATGTGTTTTAATATTTTTTGGGACGGGGGCAACATGTTACACACATTTATTTGGTTTTAAATAGGTTCTAGGTATTTTTTTCGTATTTTTAAAGTCTCGAAATTCACGACCATGACGTGTCCCTAGGGTATATTTTCCAACTTTCACGCTGTTTTTAGACTAATTATTCATGCCGAAATATATAAAGCCATATTTTTATGTCATCAACGGTTATTAAACTTACAAAAAAGGAGCATATTATAATTTTATTGTCATTGCAAACTGACTACCATGACAAAATAAGTCTGTCCCTCAATTTGGCGTCACGACCATTTGGGAAAAATTTTCAACTTTGGAGTATGGCAGTGGCAAGCCTGGCGTCGATGGAGTCAGTTGGTTTTAGAGACTAGTTCGGGGTGTACGTCAGGATTGTAGTGCCGGTCGTTTCGAGTTGAAAGGAGGAATTACAAGATTAATAAAGGAAAGATTGTGTTTTTTTGTAATTTTGGTCTGTCCATGACCGTACGTAGTCATTCAATGAAGTAGACATAGCCTTATGGATTATAGTGTGTTTGGTCGTGACAATAACTTTAATATAATTGTAAATTGAACAGTTTAGTTCAATTGAAACACATATTTTTATTATAACTAACAGTATAATTGAAGGATTGTTTAGAAATATTTAGATTATTTAAGAAAATTCACGACCGTACCGCTTGTCCCTGACCATCACGTTTACGATTTCTATCATAAAAATTTCAAAAATTAAAATATCGTCATATTTCAATGTTTTATACACAAAAGAAGCACACCTCTATACAAACATAACGATTTTTCGGGTCTCAGGTAAGTTTTTTCGGAGTCATACAAACTTAAAAAGATTTTATTGGCTTTTTTCAATTTTTTGAGTTTTTTTATTTTTTTTTAGAAAGACCAAATATACCAAAAGCTCAGTGACCTTTTTATCGTATAATGGTCATAAAAGTAAATTAGTTTATCGTTCAATTGAAACACATATTTTTATTATAACTAACAGTATAATTGAAGGATTGATTAGAAATATTTAGATTATTTAAGAAAATTCACGACCGTACCGCTTGTCCCTGACCATCACGTTTACGATTTCTATCATAAAAATTTCAAAAATTAAAATATCGTCATATTTCAATGTTTTATACACAAAAGAAGCACACCTCTATACAAACATAACGATTTTTCGGGTCTCAGGTAGGTTTTTTCGGAGTCATACAAACTTAAAAAGATTTTATTGGCTTTTTTCAATTTTTTTAGTTTTTTTTTTTTTAGAAAGACCAAATATACCAAAAGCTCAGTGACCTTTTTATCGTATAATGGTCATAAAAGTAAATTAGTTTATAGCAAAACATAGTTATAAAAATAATATTAATTATTTTTAATATTCATTTAAACGTCTGTTATGGTTGTGACAGGATTTTGTGTTTTTCTACTAAAGATGCTCTTTAAAAAAAAAAAAAAGACTACCAAAGATATTGCGGTACCATGGACACTTTATGAAACTTCAAATTTTAATAAAATAAAAAAAATAATAAAAGTTTTGAAAAAAGGGGAAAAAAAATTGCAAAGTGCTCTTCCTGAAAACGTACGTTTTTAAATTTTCACTCACGTACATTACAGAGATGTACAGTTGAGGTTACGCGAAATCATTAAGCGGTCATTAAACTTACAAAAAAGGAGCATATTATAATTTTATTGCCATTGCAAACTGACTACCATGACAAAATAAGTCTGTCCCTTGATTTGGCGTCACGACCATTTGGGAAAAATTTTCAACTTTGGAGCACGACAGTGGCAAGCCTGGCGTCGATGGAGTCAGTTGGTTTTAGAGACTAGTTCGGGGTGTACGTCAGGATTGTTGTGCCGGTCGTTTCGAGTTGAAAGGAGGAATTACAAGATTAATAAAGGAAAGATTGTGTTTTTTGTAATTTTGGTATGTCCATGACCATACGTAGTCATTCGATGAAGTAGACATGGTGTTAATTTTTGTTTATAAGATATTTCAATTGCTAGATTAACCTAGAAGTCCACTTTGTATCCTCGGACATGAGGTGCAGAGCTACCGACAGAACAGAGCTAAATAACACGTAATTTCACGACCAAAGTTTCACTTTTAAATTTAAACATTATTGCCACCAGGACTGATGTAGAATGATATGATAGGTTACGTACCTTTTTTATTCCATCTCCAGACCTAATATAGTCAAAGGGTGACTAGTGTTTGTACCTCATAACGAAGACTTCTGTCGGATTTTGGACCAATCAATTTGATGAAAATGGGTTTGAAAATGGGTCATTTCTGACCCGAAACTAGTCACCCTTTGACTATATTAGGACTGGAGACGGAATAAAAAAGGTACGTAACCTATCATATCAAAGTTTCACGACCATCGCAGGTTTTTTCACGACCAATCCAGCCTTATGGATTATAGTGTGTTTGGTCGTGACAATAACTTTAATATAATTGTAAATTGAACAGTTTAGTTCAATTGAAACACATATTTTTATTATAACTAACAGTATAATTGAAGGATTGTTTCGAAAAATTTAGATTATTCCAGACAATTCACGACCGTACCGCTTGTACCAGACCATCATGTTTATGATTTCTATCATAAAAATTTCTAAAATTAAAATATCGTCATATTTCAATGTTTTATACACAAAAGAAGCACACCTCTATATAAACATAACGATTTTTCGAGTCTTAGGTAAGTTTTTTCGGAGTTATACAAACTTAAAAAGATTTTATTGGCTTTTTTCAATTTTTGGAGTTTTTTTACTTTTTTGTAGAAAGACCAAATATACCAAAAGGTCAGTGACCTTTTTATTGTATAATGGTCATAAAAGTAAATTAGTTTATAGCAAAACATAGTTATAAAAATATTATTAACCATTTTTAATATTCATTTAAACGTCCGTTATGGTCGTGACAGGATTTTGTGTTTTTCCACTAAAGATGCTCTTTAAAAAAAAAACTACCAAAGATATTGCGTTACCATGGACATTTAATGAAACTTCAAATGTTAATAAAATAAAAAAATAATAAAAGTTTTGAAAAAAGGGGAAAAAAATTTGCAAAGTGCTTTTCCTGAAAACGTACGTTTTTAAATTTTCACTTAGTTACAAGTGACTGAACAGAAAAATGTAACCACAATGGAGGTAACTCCCATGGATAATTATTAATTAATATATAGTATAAACTAGTGTACCTGTTGCTCGAATTCGAGCAATTGCTAAGTATTACAGGCGTTATTTTAAAACGAATAACAGTCATAACTTCTGATGACTTTAATATATTCGACTCAAAGATTATGGAAATACTAAAGATGTACATAATAGATCGATATAATCAACATTTGTTGTAAATAGTGTTTTCTACAAAAATAGCCTTACTCATAGCTGCATTGGGTTTCCAGACACATTGTGTGTCCAAAAGCCAGCACGACTCCCTTCCCCATACCGCCCTGAGCGATAGGGATCATTGAGATTCGCTCTAACCTTTCCTCTCCCCTTCATGGGCAAGTTTTCATACCTTATCTTTCTTAGTTTTTGTTTGTTTCTTTTTTTTTTAATTGTAATGCCTGTATGTATCCTTTGTCTTTTCCTATTTCCCTAGCTACTTTTCTAAACGTCTCAATTGCTTCCTTGTCACTCATCATGTTTTATTTTCTCATCTCTAGGCCTATCTTATCCAAGACATATTCATGTTCTCACCTATTTGTCTCCTGAAGTGAGCAATTTATAAATACCTGACTCGTGGTTTTTATTTCTCCACATCTACATACTTCCTCTTCCACCTGGTGAAATCTTCACAAAATCGCCTTAAAATTTTCAATGTCCTGTGACAAACTGCGTTTCATAATGGCCCATCTCCTAATCTTGTTCCAGTCTCTTTCTGATGTTAGGTATAAATACAGTAGAACCTTGATAACAAGACTCTCACAGGGGTCATAAAAAAAGACTTGTTATCAAGGTTGACTTCTTACCGAGGTTTGCAATGACATGTGATTAGGGGTAAAATAATTTCAAGGGGATTTGAAAATGACCCTTGTTATCAAGGGTGACTTGTTATCGAGGGTCTTCTTATTGAGGTTCTACTGTACGAACGTTTACCTTTAAAACGTTAATATAGAACACTCTGCTCCCAACGCATTTGCCACTCATCTAATATCTCCTCTCTCTTCTGTTTTCAAATTAGTCCTACCCTCCTCCTTGTCTTCCAAAATCAACAGCTTATGCAGCGATTATCCAACAGTCCTAAATTGAATGTCAAATCCTCTGGCGACTGTTGGAGAGCTCACTTAAACCCAGCACGGAAGGGTGCTTGCTGTATTCGGCTCTCAACGACAATAGGGATCTTGATAACTCTCTTGATGCCATTAAAGAATATGTAGAACTGAAAATATCTGAAATTTTGTTGGATGTTTTCATGATAAATATGCTAAAATCCATATACACCCCATAAAACCACAAGAAACCCAGTTCACATGATCTACATCTAATCAAGACAGTAAGTAAAACTCAACCTGTTGAGGGAGTGTTTATTGTATTAAACCTAAACCAAATTACAATAATAGAGTTATCAAGATCCCTTGCCAACTCCTCCTTATCCTTAGTCACATAAAACTATGGTCATAAACATAGGAATATGTATTGGAAATTTTCTCTGTAACCCTTTATTAAATAGATTATGTCAATTAGAATTAGTTTGTTTTTTTAGCTACGGTATTTTAAAACGTTTATGTTAGTATGTGGAATTAGTTTTTCAGTGTAAACAAATCCAAAAACACTCATATTTGCACCACAGCCCTCTATGAATGCCTTTTATCATGGTCTGGCAAGGATGCATTCACTTTTCATGCTGGATAAGTGTTTACTGACTCTCTTAAATTCAATAATATCAAAAGTGGAGCTTCATCAACAGTAGGCCTAGCGGGTTAAAATTTTATAGGATACAATTTTCACTTATAGCCTACCTCCACGACCCTTAAATGGGGAATTAAAGATGCCATATACTACTTATAGGCCAGTAAAAATAGGTTTTTACCCGGAAATAATTCCTGGAAAGCTGGAAATCGTTTTAATCCTGTTGTTTTATATAGAAGTAAAAGGATTTGAAGTTTGTCCCATTTTACCAGGTGAGCTTCTGACCTGGGACCACAAACACCTTGAAATTTAGGGTTATTTTTTAGTTTTTGCTAAAACGTCAAAAAACAGTCCAGCCTACAGAAATACAAATCATAATGGAATTGTAGAGCATAGAATTCCGCATCCATTGAGTATCTGTTGATGAATATCGAACCAATAAATAAGTGATTTATAGTAATTTAAAAGTTATTTTATCAAGAAACTAGCTGGCCCGACAGACGTTGTCCTGTCCTAATGTAGTTTTATGTCAAATGCTCGTTCATTTTCAAGATGAGCTCGTTCGCATGGCTCAATCACATCCTGGTTGAAGTTCGTTCGCTACGCTCACTCACCACTCACCTTTAGGTTGGAGCTCGTTCGCTGCGCTCACTTGCCTTCAGGTTAGCTCGTTCACTATGCTAACTCAACTCACCCCCAGGTTGAAGTTCTTTCGCTACGCTCACTCACCTTTTGGTTGCAAATTAGCTGTTGTCATAAATAAAAAAAAAATGATAGTGCTGCACCCTGTTAGTAAACCTATTAACTTTTTAATGCTATTGAACATCACAGAATCAAATAGTTTAGTTGAACCAGCTGTTAAGATTCTTTAATTCAATTTAAATATGAGTACTCATAAGGTTAACATGGGAAACTCCAGAGCTACTGGGGCGGAACCCTTTTGACGGATCTGCACCAAACTTGACAAAAACCATCCTTGAATAATGCTTAATAATACCTGAAAGTTTCATTACAATCTGTCAAGCGGTTTCGGAGTCCATAAAGGACAAACAAACAAACAAACAAACATACATTGGATTTTATATATATAGATGATTGAACATTGCATTTTAACATTTATATTACTTCTAGAAAATGGATTCCAAATACATTATTACAGTATTTACAAAGTAATAATACAAATTACAAAAAAACTGATCAGAGTTTTTTGTCTCTTTTGTCGTGAATCCGGAACTGCAGGTCTAACTTCCTCCTCGTCTGTACGCGCGTCATTGCTTATTTGTGGTTTTTCTTTCTCTGGTGGGTTGGTGCAAGAAACACCTTTACAGTGTTGTATATTTGACTCCGTTCTTCCTACAAGTGCAACCACTTTTACACCCTTTTGCACACTTACATGGGACAGTGTTAAGAAGATCTGGTGGTGCAGCTTCAACATTTGTTGGATTTGGAAGTATCCCATGCTTAGATGAATTCCAGCCCCAATCAGTAGGCTTTACCTTCCGCGTGGTCGAATTGAGTCGCATTAGTTTCTCCATAAGATTCCGTCGAAGGAGTAAATACATTGCAGCCAGTGTCAAATTTGATGAAACAATGTCCCTCACCTTGCCATAAGAACACTTTCTTGCATATGACGCAATCTCATAACCATGATTACTGAAAAATTGAAGCAAGAAAACTTTACTGTGAAGCAAGCTGCCGAGGATGCAGATACTACTATCCCCATGCAAGCCATCTAACTAGCTGAGCAGTCAGAACGTGTTATAATCGTGGGGAAAGATATTGATATTGACCTTCTTGTGCTCTTAACTGCATTTGTTCCCAAATCATCCACTATATACCTCTTGAAAATCGGGGAAAGGGAAGTCCAGCAATACGTTTTATTCCCCAGTGAGATTCAAATACTCTTCTACCTTTAAAAGCAATATCTGGTTTTACGTGGATTTAGTGGCTGAAATTGCTTACTGATTGGTGCTGGAAGTCATCTAAGCATGGGATACTTCAAAATCCAACAAATGTTGAAGCTGCATCTTCTTAACCCTATCTCATGTAAGTGTGCAAAAGGGTGTAAAAGTGGTTGCACTTGTAGGAAGAACGGAGTCAAATGTACAACACTGTAAAGTTGTTTCTTGCACCAACCCACCAGAGAAAGAAAAACCACAAATAAGCTATGACGCGCGTACAGACGAGGAGGAAGTTAGACCTACAATTCCGGATTTACAACAAAAAAGACAAAAAATCTTATCAGTTTTTTGTAATTTATATTAATTACTTTGTAAATAATAATGTATTTGAAATCCATTTTCTAGAAGTAATATAAATGTTAAAAATGCAATTTTCAATAATTTCTTAATAAAATAGCTTTATTTAAATTACTATAAATTGGTTCGATTTTCATCACCTACTCAATGGATGCGGAATTTTATACTCTACAATTCCTTTATGATGTGGTTTTCTGTAGGCTGGACAGTTTTTTGACATTTTAGTAAAAACTAAAAAATAACCCTAAATTTCAAGGTTTTTGTGGTCCCAGGTCAGAAGCTCATCTGGAAAATGGGACAAACTTCAAATCCTTTTACTTCTATATAAAACAATTTCCAGCTTACCGGGAATTATTTCCACGCACGGCCAATTTTTTAACTATAATTTTACTGGCCTATTAGTTTGTTCTTAAGCTATTTTGACCACATGCACTAAACCCATGGAATTTTGAGGTTTTCAGAGTATGAAATGGCAAAAAATCATATTATACTCCATACAATCCTCTGTAAATCCGGTTTTCATTGTCTGACCAGAATTACTTCTTACAATAAGACCGCAATAACGACACCATTTGGTCTCTTTGAGTTCCCATTCATGTCTTTCGAGTTGAGGAATGCTGGTCAAACTTTTCAAAGGTTTATTGATGAAGTCGTAGAGGGACTCAGTTTTTGATTCCCCACATTGACAATATCCTTGTTTACTCATAAGAGACGCTTTCATTCGAGGATTAATATCACAGTCCATTTGACAAATACTTCTTGAAAATCTAACTTTGACTCTTGAAGAAGCTTATAATCAAGCCGTTACCTTGGAATCAGCTGAAAATCAGGCAGTTTCATATATTTCAAGCCCTGGTTGTAACTCTATATCTCAGCCAACTCCTAAAAATGTTGATGTTACTAATACCAATGTTTCTCAGGCAGCTTCTGATTCGTCTTCACACCAATTATCCTCGTTAAGAAGAGAAAAATGTTTCTTTTGTGGACGGCCACGACACTATTTCACATTATTTCATTTCATTTTCACTCTCGAGTTAACTGTCCTGCCAAAAACTCAGTTTGTAATATTTGTGACAAGAAGGGCCATTGAGCAACAGTTTGCAATTCTCGCAACCAAAGTAGGACATTTAAGGGTAAAACAACTCTAATAAGTGAAAAGACAGAAATAAACTCAATGTCTTCCTCTCTTGTTGCTGCCTCACAAAAATGTCTTTCAAAAGCCTAAGTGTCACTGATGGCAAACCAGTAGATACACTCATTGATACTGGGAGTTCTGACAGTTTTATATCCGAAGCTACTGTGAATAGATTCAATATTTCTAAATACCCAACAAAGCATGAAATATCGATGGCATCAACAGGCCATGTTTCATAAACTCTTGGCCACTGTATTGTTGACATGGTGTGCGATGGCCACGAATACCTACAGACAAAGCTGCTCGTCTTAACTGATTTATGTGCCGATGTTGTAATTGGACATGACATCCTTCGGCAACATTCTGCTGTGGAGCTGAATTTCAGTGGTAAACGCCCACCCTTCAACGTTTGCAATCTACTTAGGGCTAAAGTATAACCACCACCACTGTTTGATAATTTAACTAATGACGTCAAGCCTGTAGCCATCAAGTCCCGACGCTACTCTGAAGATGATAGCAAGTTCATAAAAAGTAAAATAAGTAGGCTTATATCAGAAGGAATTAATTGAACCGAGTAAGTCACCTTGCAGAGCCCAAGTGATTGTGGTCAACAATGGGCACAAGAGACGTCTGTGTATCGACTACTCTCAAACCATCTACAAATTCACGCAGCTTGATGCCTACCCTCTACCTCACATTGAATCATTTGTCTCTAAGCTTGCTCAATATAAAGTGTTCAGTACAATCGATCTGAAGGAGGCATATCACCAAATACCTATTTGGAATGAAGATAAACCATTCACTGCATTTGAAGCTAATGGGAGACTTTACCAATACACTCGAATTCCTTTTGGCGTTACTAATGGTGTGGCGTGTTTTCAAAGAACTATTGACCAGATTATAGAAACTGAAAATCTACTAGACACGTTTGCCTATCTGGACGATGTAACTATTTGTGGTTGTAGCCAAGCAGAACACGATCAAAACAAGTATAATCTTACCCTAAACAAAGAAAAATCAAAGTTTTCGTTGACCAGCATTCCAGATCTGGGGTATATTGTAGAAAACATGTCCATGCGTCCTGCTCCTGACCGCTTGCAATCACTCTTGAATTTCCCCGGTCCAACTGATAATGCAAGCCTCAAAAGAGCTCTTGGCATGTTGTCCTATTACGAAAAGTGGATTCCTAAATTCTCTGAGAAGATTCATTGTCTTACTACAGTCAAATCTTTCCCGGTAGGCAGTAAAGAAATATTGGCTCTTAAGACATTAAAAGAAGAAATAGCGAACTCCAGTATATCTGCAGTTAAAGAGAATATTTAATTTACTGTGGAAACAGATGCATCTGAATCAGCTATAGCGGCTACCCTTTCACAAGCTGGAAGGCCAATATGTTTCTTTTCAAGAACCCTAACTAAGAGTGAACAACATCTACCTGCTGTAGAAAAAGAGGCACTCACAATATTCGATTCAATACAGAAATGGAGGCATTTCCTGATAGGAAGACGGTTTAAATTAATTACAGACCAAAAATCTGTGTCCTATATGTTCAATCAGAAACACGCGGGAAAGGTTAAGAACAACAAGATTTTTAAGTGGCAATTGGAACTAGCACTTTGCTCTTACAACATAGTGTACCGTTCTGGCAAAGAAAATGTAGTAGCAGATGCATTTTCACGAGTTTCATCTTCCATCTCTTGTAGAGATTCCGAAAAGTCCATAAAATTCATTGTGACATTGGACATCCTGGAATAGTACGGATGGTTCACTTCTTAAAAAGTAAAAATTTCCCTTACTCTATCGGAGATGTCAGGCGAATGACCGCTTCATGCTCTGTTTGTGCGGAAGTGAAACCGGTTCTACCAAAATACCCCATCAACACTCATTCATGCAATGGCTCCTTTCGAGAGACTTAACATTGATTTTAAGGGGCCAATACCATCTGTGACAAGGAATAAATATATACTGACAGTTGTTGATGAGTTTTCTAGATATCCGTTTGCTATTCCTTGCTCGGACACATCAGCATCTTCTGTCATCAAAGCACTTATATCAATCTTCACCATCTTTGGTATGCCTGCTTTTGTCCACTCTGACCAAGGTTCTGCTTTCATGTCAAAAGAACTGAGTGATTTCTTACACTCAAAAGGAATCACCACTAGCCGATCTTCACCTTATAACCCTAGAGGTAATTCTAAAGCTGAGCGATATAATGGAACGATTTGGAAGACTGTATCTCTTGTTCTGAGAAACAAGGGACTGAAGACAGAACAGTGGGAGTATGTTTTGCCAGAAGCTTTGTGTATACGCTCGTGACTATGTACAGCTACGAATGAGACCCCACATGAACTTCTTTTCAAGCACCAGAGACGATCATTTTATGGCACCTCTCAATCTCAATGGCTCATGAATCCAGGACCAGTATTAGTGAGAATGCATGTAAGAAATAACAAATATGAACCTTTAGTGGATCAAGCTCAGCTGATAGAGGTTAATCCAGACTATGCTCGCATCAAGTATAGAGATGGTAGAGAGGCTCTGGTATCAGTGTGACATCTCGCTGTTCCCCCTGAAGCTATCCAACAAGAGGATGAGCCTGTGACTTCGGAAAATCCCAGTCAAGAACTAGATCCTGTTCTTCAAGACCTGAGACGTGAATCTAACCTGCTTCAACTTGAAATTGGGAACTCTATTCAATCTGAAATCGAAACATTCCATCTGCGTGGGACTGTGACCCCTACTTCAGAATCAGAATCAGAATCAGAAAAGCTTTATTCAAGATTTATACATTATATACATGAAATATATGCATAAATACAGAATGGCGGCAAAACAGCTTATTACTAATTAAAAATACTTGGTTAAACTAAATAAAACAGGAAAATTTAATTAATGTAATTACATGTTGTAAAACTCTTCAAATGAGTAAAATGCTCTATCAATTAGTAACAATTTAAGTTTTTTTTTTTAAAGACCTAATGTTTTTTATATCAAATATTTCTTTTGGTAGATGTTACAAAAATTTAATACCTGCAGCTGTTGGTTTCTTGTTATTAAACTCCAGTT